GAAGGCAAGGGCGTTCAAGCTTCGCCCGAAAAGGGGGTCAACACGACACCGGCCAAAAAGAATAAGAACATGCCCATCACGAATGGCACGGCCATTCCCGCACCAGTACTCGCGCCCAGCATTGAGCGGATTGACAGCATGCAGAGCCAGGGCAACGGCAGCCAAGCGGAAGAGAGGGACGGCGCTTCCGAGAGTGCGGAACGATAATGTATTCGGCCATCGCCTTACACGAAAACAATACACGATTACGCGTCTACCGCTGTACCAACCAACACACTTTTACTTTTGCGACTTTCCTTTTCGAATCGACAGCTCTTGCAGCTTCGCGCAATACTTGCTGCTTTTATTTTTCCTCAGCTGCTCCGGCAGATTCTGTTTTATACGGCAATGGACGCACAAAAACTCATACAATTCGGCGTTGGGGGACGTGTTGCCTTCAAGGCCAAAAACGAAAGAGCGACGCCATAATATCATGGACAGGTCGGATTCACTCAGGCATTGGGATACCCGAACGCAGCTGTTTTGACACGATGGATTAAGAAATTGGGGCTGCGGGTCAGTGTCTGGGGGTTTTTGTTCGTTACGATATCGGGCTTCCCTGTCCTTCGTGTCATGGGGAGGTCATCGCTTGGGGCGAGTCACATTGGACTATAGTAGAAATGCTTTCTTCTTTTTTTCTTTTTGTCCTCCAGTCTGAGCTGCAAGGTTGAGGGGCGAGTCGAGCCCGTTCATGGGACGAGTGGCGGCAGCGCGGGATGAATATTGGATCGGCTTCTTTCAGGAGACCAAGGCAGGGGCTGCATGCTGTCGTCGCCATCTCCAGGGATGCTCCGCGCCCGTGTCCGCGGACGTTTCTTCGAGGCAGCGTGAGCAGGGCTTCTCGGTGCCGAGGAACAGTACTGTGAATGACGGACAGCATGGAATGGGTGAACGTTGGGACGTGAGACGAGTTAGAGTTGAGACAGTCGCCGGCGCGCGTGGCTCGTTATGTTCCAGTACAGAATCAAAGTTGACACCCGCCAGGCCCGCCATGATGCAGTAATTTATTCCAGGTTTTGGTTGAGTGCATGCCGTTGTTCTAAGAAATGGAAGAGGAAGCAACGGCGACGACGGACAATAGGGATCTCTCTCGATTAACCTACTCATCCCGACCCCTATTCAGCGGGCCGCGATAGGACACCCTTCGCCCTATTGTGCAATTGTCTAGGTCGTAGAACCGGTCTGGGGATTTATTTCTTGAGCCTTTGTCTGCACTTCAAGTTTTCTTGTTTCTACGCTGCGCTCATACTTGAATCTACGCCTCAACGATCAGTCTCTTCCTCTACCCCCTTTCAAGTTCCGTCTTGCATGATCCCCAATCACACCGCCATCATCACAACCATGGGGCAAAGGCAAACCAAGCAAACCTTGGCCCTTTGGCAGACCTTAACCCGCTGCCATCAGCATGCCAATCCAGCCCCATCCCCTGCCCCTATTTCTTTCGTTTCAGCGTCCGGCTTGAAGCCATGTCTGGCGATCCCACCTCCCATCCCTTCCCCCGCAGCCCGGATATTCCAGCACAGTCCGGCTCCCACCACCCCAACCGAGATCGAAGACCTCACACAGGCCCTAGCAGCCCTGACGATCCAGCCGACAACACCGCAGAAGCGCAAGCACGCCCCTCCCGGTCCGGTCCGCCAGACCAAGAAGCGACGAAAGCGCAGCGGCAGCGCCGTCGCTCTCCCCGGTTCGCGGATCCGGGGCACGGCCCCGCATCGCACCTCGATTCCTTCGTTTCTGAGAAGCCGGCTGCCGCGGAGGGCGGCGTACGTCCCGTCGACGGGCCTGCGGCGGGTGACGACGCCGCTGGCGAGGCGGTATGCTGTTGAGATGGACGTGGATCCCCCGCAGCCGGTGGTCGTTTTGTATCGGTGGCCGGGCGGCGGTGGTGGGTGCGGAGCGGGGGAGGGGCAACAGCGGTGGCAGCATGGTCTGGGAGGAGAGCCTGCGAACGGAAGCTGCCGCTGCTGCAGGATCCATGGATGGATGGAGGTGGGGAGATTCTCGGTGTAGGGAGTGAGAATGATGCTTGTCAGGACGGGGCGACGGAGGAGCAGAGGGCCGAGCTCGAGAGGGAGATTGTGCAGAGTATGAGGCAGTATGTTCAGGGGGCGCAGGAGTAATGGGCTTGCGGGAGGGTCAAGTGAGCTTCGCCGCTGTGCTTCGAAGATGTCACGGCAGTATGTTCTCCTCTGTGCTACGAGGAGATTAGGATACTTTGTTTGATCATGTGATACCCATAACTATAGTTTTCCAGAGAAACTCCGGCCAACCAAGCAGAGGGGACCAGCGATATGTCCACATGTCCGAAACGATAGTGGAATCGGCGTCGGTGATGCCATGCCCACCTACAGAGTGAGTGCGTCCACGATAACCTTAACATACCTTTGTCTATTCATCATGCACGGGTTGATTGACACGGTGGTCTATGACCCCCGAGTTCCCTAGTTCTCAAGACGGCTATGCTCGTCGGCCGCACGTTTGGCAAATGATGCACGTTCTCCCGTACCTATACTATGGTGTCTTACGCTCTCGGGTTCCACACATCCACACACTTGTCCCCTCGGGTGGTGTAGCGTGATAGGGGCACGAAAGTGTCCGCGGAAGGTAGGGGACTTTTAGAGGTGCTGGGTGATATTCGATTGAAAGTGTGGGCCGAGTGGTGGAGGAAAGTACTCGCTTGTGTCTTTCAGAATATCGTGCTCCTTCTCCGTCAAACCGGGAGGCTCCTATTCAAAACTATTTTGCGTAAGGTAGATACCTTAGGTGCCTAGGTTCCTTCCACAATTTCTCCCCTACAATTCTTGTCCCTTGAAAAAGAGTACAACTACAACCTCCATCAACTGAAGCCCTCCTGTTGCTTTACATACAAACGGTACCAAGATATCATCACCAATTATTCCACAGCATCAACCCACCAAGGTGCTCAACGTCGAACCTGTCATGACACGAACTTCGCCCCCGCCTAAAGAGCCTGGTGACTGGCCACAGCACGAGTTATTCTGGTTGTTGACCGCCGAGATTACCTCTTACTCAAGCTCTTTTAACGCTGCCCAGGCAGAGGATGAGAAGTATGCTGAAGCGCGCGATGCCGCCGTACAAATTCTATTGGCACTTCGAGATGAGAGCTTTGTGCCTTGGCCCGAGCTCCCACCGCCGCAGGAACGACGTGATGTCCTCCGAAAAGCTCTGCCGTCTGTTTGTTCCAAGATAAACCAAGGGACCGTCGGTTTCATGCCGATGGTCAAAGAATGGTTGAGTCAATTCCCTAGGCTCCCAAAGTATGCGTACCATGAAAAATGGCAAGCACACCTACTCACAAAACCTGCCCAAACTATATGGCTTGATCTCAAGGCGGCACTCGTAAGAAAGAAATTCAAGATGGGTGGTACCCAGCATCTCCGAGAACACATCTCACTCTCAATCGAAAGTTTTGGTCTACACTCTGACCTTCCGCCTCTGAATGCCCGGAGGATCCCCAACAATCACCCTGGCGGTACACACGCATTCATCGGCAACCTGAAGCGCCCACTGCCTACATCAAGCAGCCCATCACCTCGACCTTCTCGAGTCGTCAAGACAAATGAGCATGCTGCATCAGCTCCACTGACCAAGGGGTGTGGCTCAATGTCTTCTACGCCATTTAAGAATGCCAGTCATCACAGGCCGTCTCAAATTGCAAACCATTCAGATGCGAAACAAGCCGAGTCTAGTCCTAGAAATGGCAATACATCCCTTCAAGGCGCAGAGGCTCGCAGACTATCATGCGCCACCAACGCAACGACAGTCCCTGCCAAAGCCCAGACCGTCATCTCGAGCGACAACGAAGGCCGTTCCAGAGATGTCCGGAACCCCGCTGCCGAAACAATCACCGGCGCTTGGCAGCCGCAGTTTTCCCTCTTCGATTTCCTGAACCTCCAGGTGGCTTCAACAATCTCCAGAAGTCAGCCTGTCGCTGGAGGATTCCGGTATGCCACTATTATGGAGGTTCTCAAAGATCAGGAGAGGAAAGCGATGGGTGTATCTCCCGTCACTACAACAATTGCGATGTCCCCAGTTCAGGTCGTTGCCTCGATTCAGCCTGATTCGACACTCGTGGTCCAAACTCAACTCGAGGTCAAGGCAGCGTTAGACAAGGCAATGCTAGCCGGGAAACGAAAGATCGCGGGCGACTTGACTCAGAAAATTCGTTCCATGATCGAATAAGTGTCGTGGCGTCGTGTTCGCGACTTGTGCAATTACAATGGTGGAATGATGCGGGCGATTTTGTGTTTCTACTCCGACAGATGCGCCCCATTGTCTGGCGCTGGTGGTATGGCTGCAGGAGATTAGCATTGCACGATCTTGAGGGTTCAAGTTCAAACAATTAGCGTGAGCGGAGTTGGCCTGCATGTAGAATCAAACGAAGGATGGAAGGATGCAGCTGGAACAAGCTTCGCGGCAAATCTCCCGAACAGGAGCAATGTGTACCGCTTTTCAGACAGCAAACAAATGAGATTCGAAAAATCCCCCAATGCAGCTAGCAATGCGACACGGCGCCATAAGTGGATGAATACGATTCTTGTTGAGAAATAGGGCCGCGGTTGAAGCAGCCCCTCCATCTAGCTAAAGTGCTCAAGTTGATCAACGCCCCTGTTAACTCCCAGCCCGCAGCCCACCGTTTTGAACCCGCCATGGGGAAAAAAAGCAGAAAGTCTGCAACGCCCGATAATAATATGCATGCAACTTTCTTTGTATCCCCCTTTTTTCCCCCTCCAGCCGATTCGTGACTCATGTTAAAATGTCTTCCGTCGGACGGGGTGTGTTTCTTCCACCCCGCTGTCGACCACCGGTGTTGAAGTATGCTCCTCTCGTAAGAATAGGGGGACGCATATCCTGGTATCAAATTCCTTGCCTCTCTTCGCCCCTCCTACATCCGGTAGTTGCTCAAAAATGAAAGGTGCTCGGCCGCGCCCCCATATTTAGAGGCCGGCGTCCATGCGCCAGCCCTCGATGGGCAGGGGGAAGCCCTGGCACCAGGCGGCGATCTCCTTGCGGAGGTCGTTGATCTTGGCGACCTCGCCGCCGGCGACCTTGGCGCGGAAGTCCTTGAGCTTGTTGGCCTCCTTGGGCAGGGCGGCCTGGACCTCCTTGCAGATCTTGATGGCCTCGTCAATGTAGGTGGCGACGCGCTCAAAGTCGGCCTCGCCGAAGCCGCGCGAGGTCATGGCAGGGGTGCCGATGCGGATGCCGCAGGGGGTGAGGGCCGACTTGTCGCCGGGGATGGCGTTCTTGTTGCAGGCAATGTTGATCTGCTCGAGGACGGCCTCGACGCGGGCGCCGTCGAGGCTGAACTGGCGGAGGTCGAGGAGGACCATGTGCGAGTCGGTGCCGTCGGCGACGAGCTTGTGGCCGAGGGCCTTGAACTTGGCCTCGATAGCCTTGGCGTTGTCGACGACCTTCTGCTGGTAGGCCTTGAAGTCGGGCGACGCGGCCTGCTTCAGGGCGACGGTCAGGGCGGTGATGGTGTGGTTGTGGGGGCCGCCCTGGTGGCCGGGGAAGACGGAGAAGTTGATGGGGTTCTCGAGGTCGTAGAGCGTCTCCTTGCCCGACTTGGCGTCGACGGAACGGACGCCCTTGCGGAAGAAGATCATGGCGCCGCGGGGGCCACGGAGGGACTTGTGGGTCGTGGTCGTGACAATATCGGCGTGCTCGAAGGGGGAGGGGATGACGCCGGCGGCGATGAGACCAGAGATGTGAGCCATGTCGACGACGAGGTAGGCACCGACAGAGTCGGCAATCTTACGCATGCGGCCGTAGTCGATGAGGCGGCAGTAGGCGGAGGTACCGGCGACGAGGACCTTGGGGCGGAACAGGATGGCGTTCTTCTCAAGAGTGTCGTAGTCGATGATGCCGGTCTCGAGATCGACGCGGTAGGGCATGGTCTCGAAGTAGGTGGAGATGGCAGAGATCCTAGCCGCCGGGTTAGCTGACCGCGCTGGCCTGAGGGGGGGCCAGAAACCTTGGGTGTCACTTACTTGCGCTGGGGGGTCTGGTAGCCGTGGCTCAGATGGCCACCGTGGGGGAGATCCAGGCCCATGAGGCGGCCGTGGACGGGCATAATGGCCTGGTAGACCTGGAGGTTGGCAGGGCTGCCGCTGAGGCACTGAACGTTGACACCCCACTTCTCAGAGTCGAGGTGGAAGGCCTCGAGGGCACGCTTCTGGCAGAGGTTCTCGATCTGGTCGATGTGCTGGTTACCGCCGTAGTAGCGGGCACCGGGGTAGCCCTCAGAGTACTTGTTGGACATGGGGGAGCCGAGGGCATCGAAGACGGCGCGGGAGGTGACGTTCTCGGAGGCGATGAGGATGATGGACTCGCGCTGGCGCTGAATCTCGTCCTTCTGTAGAGAGGAAGCTCTGTCAGTGTTGTGTCTTATCGAAGAGGGCGGGCTGTGTTGTCGATCGTACCATGATGGCGGCGACCTCGGGGTCGGTCTCGATGAGAGACTTCTCGAGCATCTATCGGTGAGTCAGTATGAGTGTCTCGACAAATTGGCAATTGGCGTTTAGATCCAGGTAGACGTACCTCCTTGTGGGAGTTGCTGAGAGCGTAGGTTGAGCCATTGGCAGCCATTGTGAAGGTATGGTAGTGGGATGGAGGGGTCGGGAGGAAGATGGTCTTGAAGACTTGGGTTTAGGAAGGTGTTCACGGGACCCTGATGAAGCTTTATAGACCAAGAAGGAGGGGCGAAAGGCTGGCGGGCGAACGAGGGAGAAAAAATTCACTGGATCGGAGGGTGTAGGAGAGTCGAACGCACGAAGAGGGGAGGGTGGGGTAGCGAGGGGCACTGAGTGATTGGCGGGGTCCTAGTGGGGTGACTCGCTAGCACGGCGAGCACCCTCCGATCGCGTCCTCCTGGGCGGCTCGGTGAACCCAACGTTTTGGTCGGTGAGTCATCAAGGTGCTCGCTCGAAGCAATCGACGAGCGATCACAATGGAACGGACGTCGAGGCCATATCTTAGGATATTTTGTTCGTACTCCAGGGCCATCCGCAGTTGTGCAAAACAAGGGTGCGGGGCTCGAAGACCTCTGGCTTCAGAGTTATGGGCCACTGTGACTGGCTGAGCTTCGGGTTGGCACTTTCTTTCATTGCCCAGCCGTCCTTGAAGCAAATTCCCTCGACCGCTGAATATGACAATATGTAGCGCATGTACTTGTCATGTCTCACTCGCAGTATCGCACACCTACCAAGGCCATTGGGCGACGATTGCCTCTCCTCATTATGCCGAAACCTTCATTAGCAGCCTATATGTCGCAGCCGCGAAGCAGTATCCTCTTGTCATATACCCTTTCAATTAGGTGAAACACTAAGACGGCCTACCTACCTTACCTTAGGTAGGTACCTTAGGCACGTAGGAACGCTGCCATGACTTGGTGACTGACTGATCATGCAAATTGAACCGCCATGACTGTGCAGTAGGTCCCACTCCTTAGATATCACCCAGTTTGTTTCTACAGACAAAGCGTCAATCTTCCATGGTTGCTCGGAACGGACGTGGGCAATTGGCAGTGATCATAAACCCCATGCACTCTCAGCTCCTATTTGATTATCAGGTTACTATCCATCATCCAATCAGCTGCAACACCTCGACACTACTCGATGAGATGGAGTCTATGACCTAGTGTCACACCAGCCACACCAGCCTGTTGTGTCTTGCCACCCCTTCGCGTTGAATTCTGTTTCCTTGCTGAAATTACAATAAGTTGTTGCAAAATAAGATCTTGATGCATGGTACTGGTTGTCCAGGCTTGGAGACTGACCAGCGGACATGGCCAGGAATCATAGGCCGGTCGTTCCGAATAGAAAACAACTTGCTCACGCCAGCAGCCCAGTCAGCGGGCTTTGGTGCGCTAACCTCAACGAAGCTATGCTGAATAAGCTCACAATTCCCAAAAGCCATCTTGATGGATTTCAATTTGCAAACCCATCTCTACCTTGATGTCAATGACCAGAGGAATTGTGGCACGGCGTCACGCGCTCCTCTTGGCGGCAACGCTGTTACCCAGGCCGCCCCCCCGGTCGCCTTCCCCAGCAACCGAACCGGACCTGCGTCATTGCTGTGCTGCAGCCACTCAAGAACGTCACCGTCGCCAGGCACCCACCGGGCCAGCCCCACTGCCAGCCGATACGTATTGCCACAGTGTCACCGTGCCCATTGAGCAATACCCACACTATAAGGGACTGCTTCCTGGTAAACGATTCCCTACTACTCTCTGGTGGGAGCCAGCTGGGTTACTAAAGCTGAAGAAAAGCGAACTATACAGGAATATACCGGCTTATCGCTCTATGGCTATGAGACTACTTTGCGCAAGCACAGATGCTGAATTATAATTTAAAACTCGATAGGATGATGCTCACAAGACTCAGCAATCGAGTCACGAAATGGAACTGATTGGTCACGATGACACAGTGCAAACCGGCCTACGAACGGTCTCTAGCCAGTGCGAGCGTTACCCCGGTCACAGCTGTTTTAGCTGCACCCGGCCCAGGCCCAGGCACAACACGCACGCACGCAAGCAAGCGCCACCTCCCCCGGCCCAGCACCTGAGCTCCCTCTCCACCCGCTCGTCCCTCTTGTATCCTGCTTCTTGTGTCATTGTCCACCCGGCCCTCTCTCCTCTCCTCCTCTTGACTCCCCATCTTCATCAACCACCACCTCTTCCGACCGATCTCATATTCCACATCCCATCACCTCGTAGGATTCTCGCGCCCATAGCGAGACTGCCCAACATGAAGAGCACTCTTATCGCAGCTGCGCTGCTCGGATCCGCTTCCGCCGAGATCCACAAGCTCAAGCTCAAGAAGGTCCCCATTGAGGAGCAGCTGGTATGTCACTCCCAACCGGCACCATGATGCGACTATGCGCGAGACTAACCTGGGCCTTTCCATCCACCAGACCTCCGTCCCTATCGAGACTCAGGTCCAGCAGCTTGGTCAGAAGTACATGGGTGTGCGCCCCCAGAGCCATGCCGACTACATGTTCAACAGCAAGCCGGTTCAGTCCGATGGCAACCACAATGTGCCCGTGAGCAACTTCATGAACGCTCAGTGTACGTTTCGCAGCCTCCAACCCCTCAACGACCCAACATGCTGACAGGTGCCAAGACTTCTCCGAGATCACCATCGGAACCCCCCCTCAGACGTTCAAGGTTGTTCTTGACACCGGCAGCTCCAACCTCTGGGTTCCCTCCCAGCAATGCAGCAGCATTGCGTGCTACCTGCACACCAAGTACGACTCTTCTGACTCGTCCACGTACAAGGCCAACGGCTCCGAGTTTGAGATCCACTACGGCTCCGGCAGCCTGACTGGATTCGTCTCCCAGGACACTGTCACCATTGGTGACATCAAGATCAAGAACCAGGACTTCGCCGAGGCCACTAGCGAGCCCGGCCTGGCCTTTGCCTTTGGTCGCTTCGATGGTATTCTCGGCCTCGGCTACGACACCATCTCGGTCAACAAGATCGTCCCTCCTTTCTACCAGATGGTGAACCAGAAGGCCGTTGACGAGCCCGTCTTTGCCTTCTACCTCGGCGACACCAACGAGCAGGGTGACGAGAGCGAGGTCGTCTTCGGTGGTGTTGATGAGTCCCACTACGAGGGCAAGATCACCACGATCCCCCTCCGCCGCAAGGCGTACTGGGAGGTCGACCTCGACTCGATCAGCCTCGGCGATAACACGGCCGAGCTCGACGGCCACGGCGCCATCCTCGACACCGGCACGTCGCTGAACGTCCTCCCCTCGACCCTGGCCGACATGCTCAACAACGAGATTGGCGCCAAGAAGGGTTACAACGGCCAGTGGTCGGTCGAGTGCGACAAGCGCGCCAGCCTGCCCGACATCACCTTCAACCTTGCTGGTTACAACTTCAGCATTTCTGCCTACGACTACATCCTCGAGGTGTCCGGCAGCTGCATCTCGACCTTCCAGGGCATGGACTTCCCCGAGCCCGTGGGCCCTCTCGTCATCCTTGGCGACGCCTTCTTGCGCCGCTGGTACTCCATTTACGACCTCGGCAAGAACACGGTTGGTCTGGCCAAGGCCAAGAAATAAACGGACAGCCGTCTTCATGTAGCCATAGGAACATGCGAATCGATTGAATCCGAGCGTCATTCGACGGCTTGCTGCATCAACAGGGACGAGAGGGGTCGACAGGCTTTCTTATATTTCTGTGGTCAGAGAGAAGATGCGGTTGGAGGACGCGCGGAGAACATGAGCGCTTTTCTTTTGTAGGCATGGACCGGTAGTCTAGTAATATCTCATTGACGCAGCATCTTGCTTGGGACCAGTGGGGAGATTGTGACATTCGTGACATTCGTGACATTCGTGACATTCGTGCATTCTGACCCAAATTCCCAGCAGTGCACACAAAATGCGCTTGCACGAGGAATCGAATGCGAAGCATACCTGGGTGGTCTGCAATCATTGTGTAGGCGACCTTCGCTTCGGTAAGGGTGATGAATAGCACGAACTCAGAGTGTAAAGGCTTACGCGTTCTTACTTCAGTTAGAATTGGGCACCATTCTGGCATGCAGTTGATGGCGCTCATCGCCGTCGATTTCCTTCTCGACATGAACTCAGATGCATCATCTGTCCACCAGGTACACACCCACACACACACCCACTCATCGCGTATCATTGAGCCAGTGGAAGCCAATTGTTATTAGGTATCAGGTGCCTGTATAGCTTGTGTAAGTGCACAGCAGACTGAGGCTGAGGACGATGCGCACCTTGGTCACGTGGTGTCCCACTGGCCCAGCCGGGATAGGCTTAGCGTGAAGTGCTCTAGCGCGTTATAGGCTTTTGTCTGCATGGGCCCATCAATGGACGGACACAGAGACAAGTCCCTGCCGGGTGTGGAACTGATCCTGGACAGTCAGTCTTCGTACTCCATTCCCGTGTCTAGACGCAATTTGCAACTAAGGCTGGCCTTCTCGTTGGATTCCATCGGTCGACTTGCCCTCTGGATGGTCCTGCACCTTCTTGCATCGATTGCGGTTCATCAGACGCGACTTTTCCGACCGCAAAGGCGAGCCTTGGTGGCCTGTTGCCGTAACGATTGACCACCACTAGACCTTTTGGCGTTCCACCAAACGACCCTTACGACGACGCACTGGCGGCTGCTCGGTGAATGAACCAGAGCGCAGCGCAATTGCCAGCGCGCGCGTCCCCGTCGCGACAAAGTCCAGGCGCACCAAACCACCATCGACGCCCGCCATCGCGAACCACCCCCGTCCGCCATCACAACGAACGGGACCCGCCACCACGACCATCATCGCCCGCGGCAACCGCAACCGCTCCACGACACGCCGATTGATTCCAAGGCGCGTCGCCGCCCCTCTGGTCATCGCTTTTCCCCGTCAAAATGGCGCAGCCCACGCCATCCCTCCCTACCAACGGCACCGCTGCCTCGTCGTCGCCCGCCCTGACACCAGCTCCTGACCACATCGGCACCCCCGAGTCCGGTCACTCCAACGTCCCCGTCAAGAGAAAACGCGAGGACGACGAGCACATGAAGGACGACGACGACGACGCCGCTGATGCCGATGCCGACATGGACATGGATGATGCACAACCACCAAAAGAGTTCAAGGACCCGCAATCCATCATTCGTGACTACTTCAAAGTCCTCACCAGGTACCGTCCATCACCAACTGCACCCACGTCTGGTTCCTGCCTCCTCGGCCGTATCCGTACTGACTGGACGCTCCTTCCTTTTTTTTTGTAGTTATGACACCACACCTTCCATTCTGCAGCGACCACTGCGCGTCACCGAGACCGAAAACGAGCCCGATGCGAAACGACAAAAGTCTTCCAATGGCGCCGCTGCCGTGACAATCGCCGACAAGGTTGCCCAGGAACAGTACACACTCCTCGATGACCTTGCTGATGATCTGCTCGCGGCGGCTGCTGATCAGCTGGCCGAGCTCGAGTCCTCACGGAACGGCGCCGGTGCAGAGGAGAACCACGCATTTGTTGATGGGCTCGTGCGGTTCAAGAAGAAGGCTCTTGAGCTATTCCGCCGAGAGAAGAACTATCCCCGTGGTGCATCCGACCCCCAACAGAAGATGCAACCCGACGCGGCCACCACCGGCCGCGTGGTCCTGACTCTCTCAGGAAGCGGCCGGCAGCTCTTTTCAAGTCAGCCTCTGCCTGCGCGTGCCCAGCAGGCTATCAACATCAGTGAGACCCTGTCCCGCTCAGTTATGCCTGTCCACGTCTCCTCCGCACGCATACTGCCGAGCCGCCAGACGGAGCGCACCTACACTCTGGGAGAGCTGTTCTCGTCGCCGCGGCCGCTGCCCCCCCTCCAGCCGCCGAAACAGCCGAAACCGCAGGCCAAGGGCAATGTCTTGAACTTCTGCCACCCAGAAATCCCCGCACCGTCCAAGTATCGGACAAATACCTACTTCACCCAGAAGGTCACGGTTGGCCACTTCCTCGATTACAGCAACGCCGCCTCCTCTACCTCGCAGAGCAAGGAGATCAAGCAGAGACAGAGAGCACAGAGTCTAGCAGGACACAAGCCGTCCTCGTCCGAGTTGGAAGTGTCCGAGATGGAGAGTCTGTTCAGGGCTGCCTTTTCAAGCTTTGCTCCCTGCAAGGATGACTCGGCTGCCATGGTGCCCGCCAGCCTGGCCGGTCGCATGTACTGGCAGCAAACAGGTCAGCGAACCTTTAACCGCATGGTTGAAGCAGCACTTGAGGAGAACGAGGATGACATGGCAGGTCAGAAGCCTGATGCGACACCGCAGATTATGGATATTGACGAGGAGCTCATCCAAGAGGCGATCGATAACTGGGACGACAAGATTGACCCGGCTCTTGAGATCTGGGGCCCCCAGAAAACCGACGAGGAAAAGGATACGGAGGAGCTCCTCAAAGAAGTGGACGACCTCATTTTCACGCTTGCGTCCTATCAGCGGATTCGCAACACGTCGCTGCCATCTTCGCACAACAAGTATGCCGGGGATCCCAGTGGTGGCGACATGCTCGCGAGCGGCACCGGAGCAAATCCCTCTGAGGAGGAGATTGCAACGTACGAGGCGCTCAAGGCGCAGTTGGGTCTCATCGTCAAAATGCTGCCGCCATTTGCCGTCGCCAAGCTCAACGGTGATCAACTCAATGATCTTCTCGTGAGCACTAACCTGGAAGTCCGCACAGACCAGTACAAGGGCGTCATGGAAGATGAAGGCGCTGCTCAGGCCAGAGCACGCCAGCAACACGGTGCTGCTTCTGCCGCCACCGGCACGGCTCGGCCGTCCGGAGCTCATCGCACGCCCAGCGCTCCGTCGTACAACTATGGCAACAACCAGCCGTACGGCACGCCAACACGGCAAGGGGGCCCTCCGCAGTACTACCGCGGCAACACGCAAACCCCGATCCAGCAGCAGCCGCATCTGGGACGGCCCGCCGCTCCCCACACTATGCCGCATCCGCAATACCGGCAGCAGCCGCCTCCTCAGCAGCCGCCCCAGCAGGGGCAGCAGTTCCGGACCCAGAATACCTACCCGAACCAGTACGCGGCGCAACTGGCCAAGACCCAGACACCGTTTGGTCACCAGAACGTGCCTCAGTACGCGACTCAGCCTCGCCCGCAACAGTACGCGTACAACAATACCGGGCCCCAGGCATCCCCCACGGCTCGCTTCCAGCCGGGCTATGGCCAGACGTACCAGCCCAACCAAGGCGGCTACACCAATGGCGCTCCGAACATGCAGAAACGTACCATGTCCCCACAAGTTCCGGCGGGCCAGTACAGCCCGTCACCACCGCTCTCGCAACAGCAGCACCATCAACCCCACCCTCAACACATGTCGCACATGCAGCACCAGCAGCCACGAGCACCCTATGGCTCGCCCGCCAATCGTCCACAGTATCCCAACGGCACGCACTCCCCTGGACCAAATGCGCATGTTCAAGGTCGTCCCGCTCCCTACATGAACAGCGTCACCGACCAGAACCAGCAGCGATTGCTTGAACAAGCACGCGCCAGGGCCGCCGCCCAGCAGAACAGCAACGTCTTTGGCGACAAGATGCAGCAGGGTGGCATGGCAAACCAAACGAGCTACAACCCCGCTCAGCTCGCCGCGCAGCAGGCCCGTCTCGTCAACAATGTGGCCAACAAGCCGCAGAGCCCCGCGCCGAGACAGGGTCAGAACGGGACGCCGACTATTCCTGCGAGGGTCACGCCTGTGCCGGTGCCTGTCATTCCTGGCGCGCAGCAGCAACAGCAGCAGCAGGGTTAGGAGCAATCGACGTAGATGCCCAGCATCGAGAGGAGGGGCCTTATGTACGGTAAAGTCGTTTGCATGTGAGGATGGAAGAGAAAAGCAGAAGCAAGACGAACGAAAGTGGGAGATACGTAGCCGTTCGTACCAGGAGGTTTGTAACTTTTGCAACAACAACAAGGAGAAGAATTCTCAGTCAATGGGAACGAGAATGGATTCGCGGCTCAGCAGTGGCAATATTTCTTCGGCGTTTCGGGTGAGGCGGGGAAGCGAAGGTTATCGAGGGCTGAGACGGATGTGGGAGGGGAAAACGGGGGTGGGGGAGGCGGAGGGCGAGGGCGAGGGGGACAGACATCATACATCATCGAACGGATGAAGGGAATGGGGAGACAAAGACGAACGGGTTCGGTGAGGGGACACTTGTCCCCCGCGTTGTATAGAAGTTGTTTGCTTTTTTTCGAGATCCGCCACACGCCCCCTATCCCCTCCGGCCTAGCTACTTGCTGCCTTCTGCAGTGGGTGGTTTTTGTTTCAATATCAGTATTGCTGTGTAACTCTGGACATGTGTTTATTATCTCGTCTTTCTCATTGTCTTGTGGCAGAGGGATCAATTTATGGTGACTGTTGTTTTCGGTCAACATGTTTACTCTACTTCTTTGGTACATTCCACTTTACACCTAGCTGTACATCGTGCTGTCGCACTCACACCCTCATGCCCTGCACGACTCGATGGCGCGACTTTTCGCCCTCCGTCTGGCGCCACTCGACCTCGTCCCGACAGACATAGCGCCGGCTCGCGCGCTCTTCCGCCTGCGCGACCGCGTCGGCCCCAGGCCGCAGCTCCCTGCGATACTCCAGCAGCGCGCCGCCATCGCCGCCGTCGTCCTCGCGCTCCCTCGCGACGAGCTGCACGAAATCCTGCAGCCGCCCCAGGCGTCCAGAGACGTCGCTCTGCGTAAACGTCGCGACCTCGTCGTCGCTCGGCCAGTAGAGCCAGCGGTCCCGCTGCCCGGCCTCGACGACGGCGCGGCGCAGCGGCGCGACGACGGTCTCGTCGAGAAGGGGCTCGGCGAAGGCGCGGAAGGTGTGGAAGACGCCTGTGAGCCAGGTTGTGCGCTTGGCGTGCGTGGCGGCTATGATGCCGTCGGCGTGGCGGACGGTCCAGACGGCGAGGGCGGCCATGGCGTCGACGTCGCCGAGGGACGCGAGGGCGAGCATCTGCGTGTTCACCTCTGAGGCGCCGGCCAGGACGACCGTGTCGCCGAGCTTGGCGCTGGAGGAGGAGGCGGCGGCGGCGCCTTTCGTCGTCGCGCTGGCGAGGTCGGACCAGGCGGAGCGGAGTCTGCGGAGGGCCGCGGCCGCGAGGTCTGCCGTCGTGGCTAGGCCTGGGTCGGCGCGGTTCCAGTGGTGAAAGTGCGGTCGCCTCGTCGTGCCCTGCGGTGGGCCTGTTACGAAGAATGATAGGAGCGCAGCGTCGTCGCCGTGGACCGTGCCTCCTGTCAGGCTTTCGAGGAGCCCGTCGAGTCTGGTGTGCAGTACTTTCTGCGTTACCCGCGCGAAGCTGCTTAACATGTGTAGTGTGAGGCCGCATGATGCCTCGGCCTCTTTCATGACGTGGCCCGCCAGGAGCAAGGCGCGCTGGCTGTTCTGTTGTGGATCCCCTCCACAGGCCAGGACTCGAGATCGGGCCAGGGCTTCGAGGATAAACTCCCAGGGCGCTGGGTTGGAGCAACCGACAGCTGTCCAGCCGAGCCTGGCGACCTGCATAGCCCTTTCTATTGTACGGCTTGACATTCCGTAGCCTGGGCGGGTTCTGCAGAGCAATCGAATGACGGCGAGCAAGGTGCCCTGAGAGATCTCCTTGATTTGATCGGCCACCGAGTTGAAAGCCACGTCGGTGCCTCGTAACGCGCAGTCCACTGTAGCCTGCTGCGTCTTGCTCAACGAGCTTCGCTGCACGTACTCGACTGCCTCGTCAAGGCTCGCCGAGCGCAGCAACAGCACATTGAGACACCTCTCGTCGAGACGAACACCAGATTGTTCCATGTGTCTTGTGAGCTGCAAAACCTTGGGTGGCGCGAGGCGTGCCCTCTCAAACTCGCTGAAGTTGAGGGTATCATGCGAAAAGGTCTCTCGTCCATCGCCAGGCAGGTTATCATGGTGGGGATCCACAATATTCGCCAGCGCCTTGAGGATCATCTCGTGGAACACTTCCGTCTGGGGGGCCATCCCGGGCTGCGGCGGATGCTGGAAGGCCTGCCATGCTTCCTCTGCGCTTCTCGTGGCTCGGATCTGAGCGGCCCATATGGACTGGTCCGAGCCGTTGCGGACGGGATAGTTTGCCCGCGTCTGGATCGTCGGCGACCCATCGGGACCTAGACCCCCGAGGATATCCGTGGCGATATCGAATTCCTCCTTGGCGTAGCCCGAGTCCTGCATCATGAGACCAGCCTTGACTGTCCTGCTGTAGTACTCGTCTGCTTCCATGGCCTCTTCAAGGCCGTTCCTCGGTAGTCTGTAGGGCGGCCAGGTCTTTTTCAGTGTCGTTGTCGTGTCCCGTTCGCCGGGGGATTTCTGCAGTGCCAGCAGGACTCGACGGATACCGCGGTAGCTTTCTCGTTCAACAATGAGAGGCTTTTCTAATGTTGATGAGAATTGCAGTAATGTACGGATGGCTTCCCAGCTGTGATGAGCAGTGGCGTATGGTTTCTTCGCCGGCGGGATTGACAGCTCCTTTAAGATGAAGTTGAACGTGCGACACCGAAGTTCAAACAATCGTCGTTCCGTTGGGCCCGTAAGGGCTTCAAGATATGTAGCAGCAAGGTTCGCAATGGGAATGACAGCCTGCGCTTGAGTACGTCGAGCATGGGACAGCAACCGGCCGATGATGCCCTGAACGACGTCTGGACTATCCAGAGGCCGAGAGTCTGGCGCCAAGTTTTCTCCTTGAGGGCTTGGTCGGCAAAATTGCTCGTAGAGTGAAGTGCAGTGGTTGATGATGCCGTAGAGAGAGTGAGGGCGCAGGAGCTCTGCACGACCGGAATATGCATCATTTAGGAGGTGATTGAGGATGAAGGATGGTTTGTGTCGGGTGTCGGAGAGGAAGCGCCGCACTCGCTCGTCAGGATCGTTCGCCGTAAGAATCCAAACCCAATGGAGAACATCATCTCGCTGGTACCCCTTGGCCGTGTACGGTTCGAACTTTGTGGACCACGCAGAGACGTCGGGCAGCAGAGAGCGCACGCTGGGTTCGAGGTCTGAATTGCAGTGGAGCATCCACTGAGCTGTGAGAATGGGCAAACGAGCGCTGCTGTAGCCGGCGAGGAAGCTCGCTGCTTCGAGGTCGGAGGCCGAGAGCTCCGTCTCGCCACGGTAGAGACGGCATGCGGTGTCGAGGAGGCGCGCCGGTGTATATGTAGGCTTATTCTTCCGATCTATCTTTTTGATTGGTCGTGCTGTCTGCACAGCGTCTCTTCGAACGCTCTTGAGTTGAGGATTTCGTATGGATTGATTGTTGAGATTCTCGCGTGTAGCGTTTAATGGCTGCTCTGTCTTAGAGAAGGAGTCTGGAGTGGTCTGGTGCCTTGTTCGAGAGGCATTGCGCACATCTCGTGCCAGCTCGTCAAACCTCTGGCATGGTTCTTCCGTGGCCTTATTACTTTCGATGTGTATTGAGGATCGTGAAGTCGCCGAGAGCTGTCATAGCCGGTTGTCAGTCCGCGGAACCCCTTGGAGGATGCATGTTACGAGCACTCACCTCAGGCTTGCCCCTCGCCCGCCTCGCTAGGGCAGGGAGCTGTGATCTGGAGAAGGGCGCGCGCCACATGTCTCCATTGTAAATAGCGAATCTTACTCTGACATAGATTGAGGAATCTTGCTGGTGGTCGAGCAGAGCGCAACTGGGGGACGAGAGCCAGTGACAATCGACATGAAAATGCGAGGTTGCGCTGGCGGAGCTTCCTCGTCGAGTGCGATAAGATAAGCAAATCCAGTGCACATCATTGGTCACTCCAAGTCATTCACCGAGGTCCGCCTCGGTGAAGGTCCCTGCACCGAGAATCTTGAACTCGGAGCTCCCATACGGTCTGCCCTTGTTCATTGATTTCTTGCCGCAGACTCGCAATCATGTGGTCCTGTCAGCAAAAGGTTCCCCCGGCTCTGTGCCGTGGCCTGTTTACCACCAGGTTCGCCCCGCGGCCACGACGAGCATTCCATCTCACAAGCGCAGCTGGTCTGCCCCGAAAACGCGATTTCTTCACCTCGAATGTACTCCTCTCCTCCAACGGCGACGCCGCAGCCCACCGCGGGAGAAGCAACGATGAGCCCCAAACAGTCGAGCCAGCGGCGGCATCGAAACGCAAGCCTGTGCACCGAGCTGCCGGCGCGAAGAACTCGCTGCGCCGCGTCGCCATCATAGCCCAGCGACCATCGCAGCGGCCCGCCGATGACCCGGTCCTCGAGATGCCTGACACGACAGAATCGGCCATGGTCACGTCGGCCGTCTGCGTCGCCGAAGCTTTCAACATGACGAGCGTCCTCGACATCCTGCGCGCCCACGGCTTCGCCATTGACCCCGACAACGCCGGGTTCGAGGCGTCCGAGGTGGTGCATGCGCGCGGGGTCAACGGCGGCGACATCTTCGTGTTCCCGTCCGGGACGATCGTGACGTGGTCGCTGCCGCCGGACGTCGTGACGAAGCAGCTGATGCCGGCGGCCGAGGTGCCGCTGGCTCCGGCGCAGCGCGAGGTCGAGGACCTCGAATACACGACGGACGCGGGCCGCGAGGGCAGCGGCATGAAGGGCGACGTCGTGGTGCTGGGCACGCGGCTCGAGGCGCGCGAGGGCAACGCGCTCGACACGACCATGGCCAAGATTGCCTTCTCGTCGGGCCTCGCGCGCAGCACCAAGCTCGCCGTGCTCGAGAGCGCGCTGACGGCCTACTTTGAGAGCACGCGCGACATCCCCGCGTCGCTGTCGCGCGGCGCCGGCGTGCCCATGGGCCGCAAGTTCATCCTGCAGAAGACGGGCGAGCTGCTGAGCCTGCGGGCGCGGCTCAATCACTACTCGGAGCTGACGGATTCGCTGCCCGACATTTTCTGGGACAGCCGCGCCGAGCTGGGGCTCGAGGGGTACTACGAGCAGGTCGGCCGGGCACTGGACGTCAATGTGCGGATCAGGACGCTGAACCAGAAGATGGATTATGCGCAGGAGATCTCGACGGTGCTGCGCGAGATGTCGAGCGAGCAGCACAGCACGCGACTCGAATGGATCATCATCATACTGATCGCTGTCGAGGTCGTCTTTGAGGTGAGGCACATTGTCATGGAGTACATGCAAGACGAGGAGAAGGAGGCCGCATAGATCGCGACCCCGTGTCATGATTAGTAGACCGGTCTGAAGACCGTTAGATACCCAACTCTGTTTCTTTTCTACCATCTTGCTGCATGCGTGCGGAGAGGTTCTTCTTTGACAATGAGTCTGCGACATCTTGCACAAAGCGTGTGAACAGTGAATGTAGACGGGGAGCCATCGAACTCTACATAAGGGCACGGTAACGGAGCAACTGCATGCATACTCAATCATGTGTACCTTAACAACGAACTGGGCATTTGGCTTGACAATTGTCATATACGCTGAGAGTATTGCGAATGTACACGTTAAGAGTATCGATAGAAGCTCGGCAGTGGAGGTGGGCGGGACATATTAATACCCCCTTCAAGCTGAGGGGGTTATCGCTTCGTTCGCATCCCCAATAAACACCAGAGGAAACATCACCTGCCAGCCTGCCCCCAAAGAGTCGAGTCACGTCTATGAGGGCGCCGCCTTCTAGACCGTGACACTTGTTCATTCTCTTTATCTTCTTTGGAGTTTTCACTGATAAGCCCGAGTCTTACGGTCTATATGGCGTCATTGCTTTCGACCTACATCCGAGGACATTTCGTACATACTTCACCATCTCAGCTGCACACATTCAACGCTAAAAAGGGCACCCACGAACTTTTGAACGGGATCAACTAGAATTTTTTCCGGGAAATCGACAATTTAATTTGTTTGGGCCACTTCCCACCCAAAATCTGGATCTGGCATCCGTTGCATGCATCACCGAGTAGCTGAACTAGGCGTCTTTGTTGGGATCCTAGCACATCATCTTTTATTTCCTCGGCCTTTGTTTCGAACCTCTTGTTCCTGCCGCCATAGTCTCTTTCTTCTGCAAGCTGTCGTTCTGAGGATTCGGTACAGACCCTACAGGATCCTGGCCGGTTTTGTGTCGCCTGCCCTGCATGTGAACGCCTCAAGCGGCCTCGACGCCTTCGAAGCGCCTCTCGGCGTGCCCTCTTTATATCCGCAGTCTGGCAGTCATAATCGCTTTCCTCATGTCTCACTCGTCTTAAATCAACAATGCCATACTTCATATATGGTCCGCTCTTGCTATTCCCAGGCTCTCTGAGTGTCCTGCTGACATTTCACAGATGACGTTGACACTTCTGCCGACGACTCTTCCTCAACGCATTCCCGAGAAGTCAGTGGCATTCTTAACCCCGAGGACGCCTATGCTGGGGATACAGAAGACATTATAGAGGATGGATACTGGCCTGAAGTCGACGACGAGTGGCTTCCCGACGGCAAACGTTCTTCGACTCCCCAAGGCCGTGACGACGATGCCGTGACGCTTCAGCCCTGTGACCTCCTGCCCTGGGAAAATGACGAAATAGGCCTTGTACAAGATGAACGAGGAAAGACCCTCGGACGGCTGCTATCTCCCTCTGTGGATACTTTGGCCAGATCTCGTGGCTTTACAGTCACAATACCCGAGAGCACCCTTGTCCACCCCGTCTCCAGTTTCCCTGGCTTCTGCGCACCCGCGCCCGAGAGGAAGGAAAAGAGTGCCGTCGAAGCACTGCTGAAGAACGCCGCCTCGCCGGCCAGTGACGACTTCTTTGAAATCGAACTCGGTCAATTCGTTGTCTACAGGCACTCGCTGTCTGATCGCAACAAGCCTCCTCATCAACGACAATACCCGTACGAGATGCGCCCACTTCAGACACTATGCACCAAGGACGCCCACAGCACTCTTTACGCTGATGGGATACTTTCTTGTGGAGATGCCAAATTTTTCGTGCGTGGCATCGCCTTTGGAGACCTACCTCTGGGTAACTACGGCATGGCCGAGCCGACTGTCGGCGACCGGATCTGGATCAGCTCCACGCTCAACCAAAGAATCGGCAAGAAGAATATATACTACAAACTCACAACACCCGCCAAGGAGTACGCGCGCTATCATCATGGTTTCCTGTGGATCGCCGACCTGGCCAAGCACGTTGTCGATTACATGGCTGTCGCTGGCGACAAGAAGCGTCGCGTAGAATTTAGACATTTCAAGTCCCACTTCCACAGATGGCTCATTCAGACCCATGGCCGCAACGCCGTGTTCAATCGATGGTTGAACCAATATGGGAGGACAGACTTCCGGGTGGCTGTTAACGCCTACAGTGACTTCATTTACAAAGAGGCTCACGGTGTCCTCACCTCCCAGCAGGTCTTTTTTCACACGTTCTGGAAGGAGATTAAGAGCTACACGGCTTACAAGCCGTATGGCTTGGTACACAACGACGCGTCTGGCCGTGTTTCAGCCGATCAGTCCCCCGAGGCCGAGGAGTCCGGGTCTGGTGGGTTTGACGGTGCCTCGCCATTGCCAGGAAGCAATCTGAGAGCTCAAGATGGCAAAAGGAGCAGCACACCTCCACCAACCGTGGTGACCCCCTATATCTACGATTGCTTTGCTCACATGCCCTTTGGTCATCTGCTCGAAGAGGTCAATCTCAGCCAGCAGACAGAAAAGCTTCGAACTGCACTGATCGAACAGCAACATCTTCAGCCAGGCAATCACATGCTCCAGTCGGCCAGGCACCTCGACACGACAAAGGTTGTTCGAGCCAAAGGACTGCAACGCGCAGTATGTGTGGGCGACGTAATCTCGACGCCACGCGACGAAGGCCTAGACTCAAAATGGAAGCGTGAGGTGGCCGCGGGGTTTGACGACATCGACCGCTGGCTTGGCCTTGTGCAGAGAATACACGTCAGCAAAGCTGGTACACGCTCATTCGACGTAATTTGGATATATCGCCCCGTCGACACCATTTGCGGGCAGATGAAGTATCCCTGGGACAACGAGCTCTTCCTCTCTGACCATTGCTCTTGTTACGATAAGCACGACAAGATCGAGGAGGGAGAGGTTCTAGAGATTCATGCGATACAATGGGGTGGCTCGCCGACCTCCGCCGACTTTTTTTGCAGACAGACTTACCTGCACGAGGAGCATCGGTGGATCACGTTAAAGGAGGAGCATAAGACCTGCTCTCATCGTGCACCGCGGGTCGTCGACCCTGACAACTATCGTGTGGGAGAGACAGTGCTCGCTCTACTCGACCCGTCCGGCAAGCGACTTGAGCCGTGTGAGCTTGTCACGGCACCGACAAAGCCGGGCGTAAGAATTCAGCTTCGTAAACTATTGCGAAGAATAGAGGTCGACCCATACAGCCAAGCACGTCCAAACGAGCTCGTCTACTCGGACGAAATTTACAGCGTTCTGCTGGCCGCAGTCTACGGCCGCTGCCTCATACGTTATTACGGCCCAGGTGAAGCTGTCCAGACGCCCTACGATCGAGACGGTGTGGGCAACGCCTTTTATATATCCACCTACTTGCAAAATACGTCGGGGACGAAGACGTGCGAGCCCTTCAGCCGTGAGCGACCGTTTCCAAAGACGTTCAGGCAAGGCATGGATCCTTCGGAGGGTTTCACCAAGCTGCAAGGATTCGACCTGTTCTGTGGTGGTGGTAACTTTGGGAGAGGACTCGAGGAGTCAGGCGCCATAGAGATGCGGTGGGCCAACGACATTAACATGCGGGCAGTCCATACTTACATGGCGAACCTCGACGATCCCAGCCGCGTGAGCCCATTCGCAGGCTCCATCGATGATCTGGTGAGAATGGCACTCGAAGGGCGTTTCGCGAGCAACGTGCCGCCCGTCGGCGAAGTCGACTTTGTATCGGGAGGAAGCCCCTGCCCCGGCTTCAGTCGTTTAACGGTGGACAAGACGACCCCCAACCAGCGGAAGAACCAGTCACTCGTTGCGGCATTCGCCTCCTTCATCGACATCTACCGGCCGAAGTACGGGCTCCTCGAGAACGTCGTCGAGATGATTCAGGGGCGCAAGACGCGCGAGGAGGATGTCTTCTGCCAGCTCATATGTGCCATTGTCGGAATGGGCTACCAGACGCACTTCTTTCTGCTCGATGCCTGGACCTTTGGCTCTCCGCAGAGTCGCAGCCGCATTTTTCTCGCCTTTGCCGCACCGGGCTTGCGCCTACCCGAGGTGCCCATGCAGTCGCATCTGCCCCTGGCGATGCGCTCACGGTCCCTGGGACTGCTGTCCAACGGCGAGCCGATGCTCCGCAAGACCTTCATGCCGACGGCCTTCGCCTCCGTCACGGCGAGGCAGGCGCTCGCCGACCTGCCTGACATTGCCGACGCCAAGGCTGACTGCTGCATCCCGTTTCCGGACCACCGGCAGAGCATCGGCGTCACGCGGCTCCTCCGTCCACAGCTCAGCTGCATGCCCACCCGGCCGTGGGGCCTCAACCTCAGCACGGCATACAACAAGGGCCACGGGCCCATTACGGCGGCGGAGATGAGCCTGTACCCGCAGGCGAAACGCCAGGGACCGTCGTCCAAGGCGTTTGGCCGTCTCCACCCGGACAAGCTCATGGGCACCATCACAACGACGCCGAGCCCCAGCGACGGGTACGGCCGGGCCGTGCTGCACTGGGAGCAGAACCGCATCCTGACCGTCATGGAGGCGCGACGCGCGCAAGGGTTCCGCGACCACGAGGTCATACTGGGCACGCCGGCCGAGCAGTGGAAGACGGTCGGCAACAGCGTCGCGAGGGAGGTGTCGATAGCGTTGGGCCTCTCGTTCCGCGCGGCGTGGCTCGGGTCTCTGATTAAGGGTGACGAGCACCTGCCACTGCCGAGGCACATTGTGCGCCAGCCGAGAATGAGAGGCGTGGAAGTAGAGCAGGCCAAAACGCAACGACAGCAGCCGCAAGCCGACGCCGAAACGACGCTGGTTCGGCGCAAGAGGGGAGACACGCCCGATACACCCCTCCGCCACCCCGTCATCGAGCGGTCTACCGTAACGGACGTCTCGCACAGCTACCCGACGCCAGGGAAACACGGCACCATGCGCAGGGTCATCACCCCGCGGAGGACGAGCAGCAGACGCTCATCCCCCACGGTCGCGCACGGCATGACAGCGTACGACCCGCACGACGAATCCATCTTCGGCCCAGAGACGGTCCTGCCGATCCGCAAGCATCGCGGAGATAACGAGCGCGCAACCGACTGGCGCGGCCGCCGTGCTGTTGACGAGACGTACGCACCGCCGTCGGACTATGAGTCTGAGAGAACGACGACAACGTCTCAGGATCCCGAGGTGTGGACGCCCGAGCCGTCACGCGACTTGTCGACCACGCCCGCGACGTCCGTGGAGGAAGATCCTCGTGTGGATTCAGCTGCGTCGGCGCGGACGAGGCCGGCCAATCCGGTCATCTTCAAGTTATTCGCGAGCAAACGGAAGACGGCGGGAGAGGAGAAGCGACAAGCAAAGAGGACATGTCTGCCCTAGACGTCAGTGTGTGGAAGAAAGGCTATATTCAGTCCCTGGGGCTTTGGCATAGGAAACAATATTTTTGGAAGACGGAGCATAACCCAGGAGTAAATGATTCATCGCGTTGCATAGTACGTGAATGCCAACGGTTGCGCCGAGCCAAACATGAGAGAACAGCGAGATGGGTGATATATCATGTTTTTTCATACTTGGTTTCGCACTCTTTGTTTTAGATGTAAATGCATCACTCCGTGATAGCCTACCACCTCCATTACGTTTTCCATGTTCTCCCATATCATGGTACTTTCTTTGCAAACATCTGTCGTGGCCCAGGACCCATTATGCGTCACACTTGTCTTCCCTAGGCTGAACCTCCGACCGTCGCCGTGACGGTGATTGTCTCCCTCTCAATGATCCTCTCGCGCTCAGTAACAGTGAGCACGAGCGTCTCCGTCACCGTGACAGGCGGCGGCGCCTCGTCCGCGACGGTAGCCACAGCCTCGAGAGTCGCACTCGGCGTCGGGCTCGGGTTGATAACGACACCGCTGGCCATGATCGTTGTGGTGAGAAAAGTGGTGGGCACGAAGATGATGTCGAGGGTCGTAAAAATCGACGAGGACGAGGACAAGGACGGCGTTGGTTCTGGCGAGGGGCTTCCTTCAGGCACAGAAGAAGGCACTGGCTGCTCGGGCGCGGGGACCTCGGCGGATGGCGTGGGAGCAGGACTTGGCTCCTGAGGCGGCGTGAAGAGGATGGTGGTCGTCAGCGTTGTCTTCTCAGTCGTCTCGGGTTCCGGCGGGGGCGGCGGCGAACGGGACGCCGTGACTGTGACGGTAACGAGCTGAGTTGTCTCGGGAGTGGGCTCCGCTGGAGGATCAACAGTAACAAAGACCGTCGACACCACGGTGCCTCTGATGGTAGTCGTCGTTTCTTCGGGGGCTGCGGAGACGGGTGGGGTCTCGGCCTGTCCGGGGTTGGGGACCGTCTCCGTGGCAATGATCTTGGTGACGGTGGGTGTCACGATCTCGGTAACGACGATTCCGTCGCTAACTGCGGGGGGCGAGGCAGAGGGCTGCGGAGGGGCGGCAGAGGGCCCTTGAGAAGGAGCAGACGCAACAGGTGCAGGAGTTTCCTCAGGTGCATCAGATAGTCCGAGAATCTCCCTCGCCTTGGTGGTCTCATAACAGTCCACCATGACACCGGGAGCGTTCTCCAACGGCAGCGGGAAACAGCTCGTCAGGGGGGCTGTACAGGGGCGAATATCAAAGGATCCCTGGGTGTTGCAGAAGCCGATACCGCCCTCGACGCAGGCAGCCTGACCCACTGTGCAGGAGGACTGTCGGGTTAGGGATTCGAACATGCGGTGGAATTTCTTGGCTTCCTCCAGGTTGCTCTTTGCGACATCGGGCGCGACAGTGGAGGTCGAGTCGGGGGGTGGACCATTGTTCGTGGGAACAGAAGCGTCCGGGGTGCCGGTAGGCGAGATGACGGCCGTCGTCGAGGGCTTGACTGGTGTAGTCGAAGGGGAGGACTGGTCAGCAGGCGGCTGAGCCAGTCCCGACGTAGGCAGTGAAGATGACTCGGTCGCGGGCTCGCTCGTAGTCAAGACTGACCCGGTCGTTGTGGAAGGACTGGGGTTGATAATGGGCTCACGGGAGGATTCAACACCTGGAGCCTCCGAGGCTGAAGCTGATGGCGTGAGGGGAGCCGAGGAAGGCTCTGGGGCGGGGATGACCGACAGAGACGTCCCAGGCTCGGCTGCAACGGTCGATGACTGCTGAGGCAGTGCCTCTGTTGAGGTCGATCCGAGTGCGACAGAGGACGCAGTAGGTGTTTCTGAAACCACAATCGCAGAGGATCGCTTCACGGAAGAAGGCCCAATCTCAACCGGAAGCGACTCGGAGGCGGAACCAACGGCAGACGACTTGGATGGGACGGGGGCGGCGTCGGTGATCGTGGACAAGATGGGCGAAGGCGTGGACACGCCATTGTCCGGGGATGAGGATGGCGCAGCAGAAGACGCAGAGGGCGCCGAGGGCGCAGAGGGCGCAGAGGGCGCAGAAGGCACAGAAGGCACAGAAGACACAGACACAGCTGACGACGCGAACGAGACTGTCGATGTGATAGAGTTGACAGGCGGCGGAGCTGAGGTTGGACTGGGCTTCGGATCGAGCAGAGACGCCGGCACCGAGATGCTGCTGAACATGGAGGGTAGGTGGACCTCCTCCGAGTTGGATGGGACAACCGACGAGGCTGCGTCAGGGATGGCCTCGATGGGTGGTGAAGCTGAGCTCGGGCTCGGTGGTGCTTCAAGAGTGCTTGTGATGATGGGCGATGTCGTCTGGAGACTGGGAGTGGGACTTGGCTCGGCCGATGGTGTCGTCTCTTCCGCAGGGAACGACGATGCCGGAGGCTCTCCCAGCGAGGCCGATGAAGGCTTTTTGGGAGAGATGCTTGGGATCGAGGATGAGGATGCTAAGGGTGGGTCGTCTTCTATGGTTGAGAATACCGGGGTCGGCGTGACGCCAGCATCGTCCCTTCGTTCCTTGCCACCACGACTGACGGGACCAGCCTGCGTGGAGGCAGAGAGGAGAGCAAGAAGCAAAAGCTGGATGTTAAGTCGCATCGTGGAGGGTTTTTTCTCGCGACGCGAGGATCGTCGCGGGTGAATGTTGTAGAGATCGACAGTTGCTCCGTGTACTGAGCGCGTTTTCGAGAAGAGAAGGTCGGATTAATAGGGCGTTAATTCAAAGGCGCGTGTTCTTTTTTGCTTTGGCAGCGAGACGAAGCTGGTGAAAGAGAAAGAATTCGCCCAACAGCAGGTGAAGCCAAACCGAACAGCAACGAGACAGGTGGACAGTCAAAGGAAAAGCGAAGGAAGTGTGAGGTTTTTGCTGGCTGATCCAAACAATAATTCGAAAGACAAGGAAAGTGACAGATGGAGAACGAGGAAACACAAGCAGAGAAAGAAAGAGAGCGAGACAGAGAGAGAGAGAAAGGCAGCGAGCGTCGAGGTATGATGTTCGAGAGCCAAAGAGTCCAGACCGTCCAAAGGTATGAGTGAGCATGACCCCCCCTGGGGAAGGGGTCGAGCTATGTATGACTCCATACGCGAGAAGGCCGCGTGAATGGCCCGGAGAGCTCGACGCATTGCTGGGACCCAAGCGGATACGGCGAGGCGAAGCAGGACAGACGACGGCGAGCATTGTCTCTGCGTCGGGAGATTTAAGATGAGACCTGGCGAGGCGACCCTAGCTCCGGTAGCTGATGCCCAATACATGGCAGATGCAGACGGCGATGCCCCATGGCGGGTGGCCCTGCAAGCAGCCGTACCTGCGACAAGTTAAGCGCTGGGTGGGTGTGGTGTTTTGGTGGTTTGGCAGATGATGCCACAGGTAGAGGCGCCTGCCACAGGTAGAGGCGCCTGCCACCACAGGGACAGGCACCTGCCGCCACAGGTAGAGAGGCAAGGTGCCCGGGAAGGCAAGACAGTGGGGCGCCGGGGCCTGTTTCCAGTCTGGGTCGAAGCAAACGCGCGCCAGGGCCGTCATTGGCTATATCTGGCAGTGGCTCGTGCCGGCGAACACCTGACAGCCAATCACTGAGGCGGCGCCAACGGCACCTGTCACAGGCCCCGGCCGACTGAGGCCAGTGGTGTCTTTTGCAGTGCAAGTCGGTATTCAGCGAGCGGCCTACTTGGTAATGATAACAGCGCGCTCCTCACAAGTATCTTGATCGATTCCGTCAAACTCCATCGCTCTTAGACCCGACCCTCCGCCGAGAGCCTCAGGTTTGGAAAGTTGTGAAAGACTGTGGCTAGGATCACCTGAGCTTGCACAAGATTGCCGAACGCCCAATTCAGTGTAAGCAGCCGTCGCAGACATGGTCATGTGAGACGCACAAACCCGTTGAACCCTCCAGAAGAAGATGAAAACTATATCCTCCCCTTCTGCTCGATGCAGAGGTACTTCCCACGACAGCACTTGCCTTCTGCCTTCTGCCACTCCGCTGCCACTCACTCCCTCACCCAACGGCAGGGCAGGCACGCTCAACGTAGCAGGCACGCCCAACCCTCATCGCCCTTCCGAATTCTCCGACCTGCTTTCCCACTTCCCAACATGCCGACATCCAGGCATCCAAGAGACACACCTTCTCATCTCCATCGTCAACCTACCCTCGCTGTCCATTGAATACTTCGTCTGCAACCCAGACCCTCGGGTCATCCACTGCAAGGCACCGGAACTCCCACGTGTCTCGAGCCATTCATCCCAGGCAGTTCGCTCTCGCAATGGTATCTACCTTCCGATATAGACCACATCTCGAAGCCAAGAATGGAGCATATCGAGCATCTTCTGCCTGTCCTTGCCACACTCTCCGGAGGCTTCCAATCTCCGCCTCCGAACCACGTTGCGCAACCACCGGCGCCGATTGGGGCTCCAGGGGGCGTACCAGCATATGCAATGCACGTGCCTGGATCTATAAGGCTTGGCATACAGGACCACCACGCCTCATCCTGCCTCGATACTGCCCACGACGTGACCAAACTATTCGACCTCAGCCTTCCACCATCTCCTCCGCGGTGCTTTTGACTCCCATGCTCGCCGTCTTTCATCCGTCTGCTCACCTGCTGGCCGCCTCTGTCAAGCGGGGTTTTCTCTCCAAGTTCCCCTCCCAGGTCCCAGTATTGACCGACATGAGGCCATAAACGCCAGTCGAGTGCTGCCCGTGCTAACCGGCGAGGCTCGGCGACCTCAAAAACAAGCACCAAGGGCAATAATATGACGCCGAAAAAACACCATTGATGTGGTTGAAATGAGGTCCAAGACGCTGCCCGTTCGCAATGGTGACCAGGGGGTTGGGCAGTCAAGAGGTGGCAACACAGAAATGACCGAGGCAGTCAACTTCCCTTCGCATCGATACCCCTCGGTCTTCGGAGGGGAAGCCAGGTTAAATAGTTCGTCTGTCGCATGCCACCTTGATGGCCTGCCTCTTCACCACTGCTCTCCAGCCTTCAGCCTCTTGCCTGTTCCCCCCTCTGAGCGAAGACCGCCCGTCTCACCATGCGCAGCGCTGCCGTCATTGCTGGGGCCCTGGCCCCGGCTGTCCTCGCCGCCACCACGGCCAAGAACGTCATCTATATTGTGCCCGATGGCTACGGCCAGGCCTCGCAGACCATGGCACGAGACTATGTCTCCCTCATCGAGACTGGCACGACGCCGCGTGCCCCCAGTATCTTTGAGCTGCAGGCCGACCAGATGGTCCGCGGTCTGGTCCGTACCCACGCCAGTAATAACCTCATCACCGACTCTGCTGCTTCCGGTACCGCTTTTGCCTGTGGCTTCAAGTCTTACAACAATGCTGTCGGCATCACTCCTGATTTTCAGCCCGTTGGCTCCATCCTCGAGGCTGCCAAGCTTGCTGGCCTCAAGACTGGTCTCGTCGTGACGAGCACCATCAACCACGCCACCCCTGCCGGTACTTTTCGTCCCATCTCTCGCTCAGGAACCCCTGCTCACCTCCTTTAGTCTACGCCTCGCACGTGCGCGACCGCAACAGCTATGCCGAGATCGCCGCCCAACAGATCGGCCTGACCCACCCCCTCGGCCCCCAGGTCGACATCCTGCTCGGCGGTGGCCGCTGCTACTTCAAGCCCAACACGGCTTCCGGGTCGTGCCGTCGCGATACCAAGGATCTCTTTGGCTACGCCGAGGACCACGGCTACCATGTCATGCAGAGCCGTGACGAGTTCGATGCGCTTGAGAAGGGTCTCGGCGACATCCGGATCCCCTTTGTCGGCCTCTTCAACGACGGTAAGGATTCATTCAAGTTCAGGCGGTCTACACAACGCTGACATACGATAGACCAGCTTAAGTATGAGATGGACCGCAAAATTGACCAGGACGAGCCTTCGCTCCTCGAGATGGTCGAGACGTCTCTCAACGCCCTTCACCGTGCCACCCACTGCAAGGAGAAGGGATACTTCATCATGATCGAGGCCTCGCGTATCGATCACGCCGGCCACGCCAACGATCCCGCGGCCCACGTCCACGAGACCATCATGTACAACGATGTCATGGGCTTTGTCCGTGAGTGGATTGACGAGCACGACGACACGGTTCTCATGTCCGCCGCCGACCACGAGTGCGGCGGGCTGACGCTCAACGGTTTCAACCCTCTGCCCCTGCAGAACGCTAGGCGCTCGCGCGAGGGTGTTGAGCGCCTCTGGAGTGCTCGTCCCTCGGGCGCCGACCGTCGCGAGTACCTTGTGTCCGAGATCCTTCCTGAGTACGGCCTCGCCGACGCTAGCAGCGCCGAGATCACGAGCCTGCTCGCAGCGTCGAACCTAGGCAGCGCACTCGTCTCTCTGCTCAGCTCCCGCGCCGGTGTCAACTGGTCGACGGGCGGCCACACGGCGTCAGATGTGACACTATTTGGATATGCCGCGGGTGACAAGGCTGAGGCGTTCAAAGGCGAGCTGGCCGGCCACTGGGACAACACGGAGCTGCCGCGTATCGCTGAGAGGGTGCTTGGCGTGGACATGGACGAGGTGACCAAGCTCCTGCGCGCCAACGGCACGAGCTGGGTGACGAAGCGCGAGTTTGAGACTAGCTCGAGCGGTCACCACACGCACTAGGTTTTGCACTCTCGGCAGTCAGTTCTGATGTGGACGGCAGGTAATGACTAGGGTCTTGAAGACGACTCAACATCTTAATTCAAGTACATAATTTATCACGTTTCTGAACCCTTCTGTCATGAGCTAACTGCGCTTTACCTGTCTTGACCGCTCATTGGACGCATTAGTGAAAAGGGGCAATTCGAGTGATCAGTCCGACTAATCCTCTTGGCTTTGATACATGCCCTCAAAAGAGGATATGGCAGGGCATACTGGTTTAGTAGAGTGATATTGTCTCCAATCATTTGGCCCAACAAGCGCGTCTTAGCATTGTGAAAATTAGTAGTGTCTTCTGCTGGCCCAGGACTGGAGAGTCCCCACGCTCTGAGGTGCATGGAAGATGCACACGCTCTGAACCATACAGAAGCCGACCATGTCAACTCACAGTGTTTATCAGCGACAACTCTAGCCAAAGTAGACAGTTGAATGTCCAGGTAGTAGCCTCCGCAGAGCAAGCGTTCACGAGTGGTTTCCGATCGAAATCGATACTCTAGATTTCTAAGGCCATCTATCCATATTTGTTAAGCCCCAACCGAAAGAAGTAACCCGCCTGACTCTCAAGTTCAAGGAACATAGATGTACGGCTCCGAGCCGTCCTTCGTCTTGTGCTTCCCCGAGCGCACGCGGCGGTTATGCACAACGTAGACGACGTCCTGGATGATGGCAAAGACCATGCCCACCGACACCATGACGATCATGGTCCGCAGACCGGTGCTGTAGCTGTCGAGACGTCAGGACCAGTTGGCGCGACAGCGCTTCACGCAGGGCGGGACACTTACAATGGCTTGTCGTTGCCCTTGAAATACTGCGTGCCGACCATCAACCCGCTAATGGCAGCCATGACCCACATGCTGCTTCGGTCAGTCATCGTGGCCCTTGTTTCTTGTCTTTCCGAGAAGGGGGAGGGAAAACGTACGCAATGGCAATGCTCCTCTCGCCCGGCTCTCGGCAGT